AATGAACCTTCAAACAGGCTCATACAAGCATCTTCTGTGATTATAGCGAAACCGGGACAGACATCGCAAGCTTCACCAGCCATTTTGCTTCGCCTCGGTCACCCTCCTTCATCTCGACTTTCCAAAAAAAGTTGGAGTCAACTACAGACGATTAGGAATTTTTCTCTCCATGATGACACTGGTGCTCAATTGACAGCATCGTGTCCGGTACTGTCGAGACAAACACGAAGATATTGTCACAGCTTCTCCAGGTCTGGAGTGATCACAGGTACGGTGGTCCTGTGATGTGGAATTTCTTTCTCATCACGATACTGAGATCGGGGCATGGCTCTATTCTCTGGCCGACCAGATAGAGTCACCTCACTGAAACGCTCCTGAATCAACATTGAAACTGTCCTCGATATATATCACTTGCACATCAGATTTCAGTGTTCCAGAGAAAAGAAATTGTTGTGTTTTCTTTCCTCTCATGATGAATGACAACCCTCTCTTTGTAGCACCACCCCTTTTCTTTTACCATTCGTGTACAATATTATTACACAATAATTGATTTTATTTTGGTGTGGAACTTTTGCTTTTTGTCAACGATGTGCACTCGTGTTTTCTACCCCATTATGTGCACGCTGACTGTCCGCGGGATCAGACAGGCACGCAACGATGATACCGAGCCAATTTGCGCATGGGCACAGTTCGGCACAGAACACACCACCGCGTGGCAGCTCTAGTGGTTCAGCCAATGGGGAAGAAGGCGAAGAAAAGCCGTTGAAGAAGTCAGCGAACCCAGGTCAGCGTTATAGCTACTGTCTCTCCCGTACTGGTATAAAAACCCTCTTCATACCGTGATCCTACTGTAACCATATATATGATGGTTATATGTATATACCCATCCGTTTACCATAGGCCAAAATGCAAGCATAATAATATACTGCTGTGGTGTGATTTTTGCACTCTGACGTCGCTGTGCTCAACCTGCACGCAACGATACCGAGGCCAAATTGCGCATGGGCACATTCGTCACAGAACACACACACGCGTGCAGCTATCGTGAGTCCAGAGCCATGGGAAGAAGCGAGCGAACAAGCCGTTGAAGAAGTCAGCGAGCACGTCTCAAACCCCGGTCCAGCGTATGGCTACCTGTCGCTCGTCCGTATAACCCGCCTTCGTTAGCTTGATTCCGACTGTAGACATGAGAGTAGATGTTGAACCTACGATCCGTAGGTGTCTATGTAGAGACCCATCGCGGTACCAGAGGCACAATGCAAGCATAATATCACTTATACGTGCCGGTCGGAGAGTACAGTGGAACCTCTCTATCAGCATATCTCTGAAATGAACTCACCTAATAGGCTATAAACGGGAGACTATACTGTGTAGTTGGTCCTAAACCATAGATGTAGTCAGGACACTTTAAATGGCCCAATAGGTCCGCATACAGAGGTCCCCCCCCCCCCCCCCCCCCCCCCCCCCACCCCCCCCCCCCCCCCCCCCCCCCCCCCCCCCCCCCCACCCACCCCCCACTGTAGCTCAGTGTATCTCATAATCTTGACAGTCCTTAGAGGGAAAGAGTGATGCTTGGAAGACCAACTAGAGCATGCTAAGTGTGCACCATACTCTCAAGTAGCAATATGTATCGCTGTATTAGTTATTATGCATATGACTGACTCAGGTGTGTATGCATGCTGGACTATTGCAGACCGGGTTGCCACTGGCAACCACCAGAGGTCAAAGTTCACCATCAAGAGGCTGCAGATGTACAAGAGTGGTGGCAGTGTCATTAGGTACACCTTTGACATTTAGCAAACACACAGAAAGCGAGCTTTTGCAAGATTTTAACTCTTTTGTGTGCCTTGATGGTGATAATCAATCTATTGTCAAGGAATCGTGAAGGGAGGGTTGTGAAGCCGGCCCCATTCCAGTCCAGCATGAAGAGCGGAGAGGTCGCAGATTGGAACCGAACCACAAGTGGTTTGGTATGTCGACTGACTGCTATTTAAAGTCTGTGTATGAGTCATGGAATGGGGACAGTAACTATACGCAATCGAGATGGGGAAAGTGATGAGACATCCTTATAAGGTGAACCCAACTGCTCTGACAAAATCCATGGCAGGTATTATCAGGTGGCAGATCTTTTTAACGTGTGTGACAGGTGATAATGAAGAAAACTGGTTTGCCAATATCACTACTGCAAGAGACATCTAAGGTGCTTTGCACAACTGTCATGTACTTGAAAATGTTCTCCAGAGCTTGAAAAATAGCATTTACACACACACTTTTCTTGCTTCTCTCTTCTCCTTTCTTCTTCCTCCGTCTCTCTCGTGTCACGCCCTCCTCCCTCCCTCCCTCCCTCCCTCCCCCCCTCTCTCTCTCTCTCTCTCTCTCTCTCTCTCTCTCTGACATCACAACTCCCTATAAGTATATACCCCACTGTGCATTAGTAGAACCATCGGATTGCAGTCCCCAGAGAGCGAGTAGTGATTGTAACTACTTCAATACAGTACTGTAAGCTGTAGATTTTGCACGAGAGTCTGACATTGGATGTGTGGGGAGAGTTGGATCTTTATCCCCAGTTCTCAAGGCTGGGCATCCATGTCTTACTCTTGTGCTTGTATGTGTAGCGCAAACACACATACTGTTCCGCTCTAACAGTAGCACCTTGCCCTCCCCTATTACTTGCAAATATATAAATGACACAGAAACCATAGAGTAGAATAATAGCTCAATATTGCCCATGCATGTCCCCAAGTAGAGTAGAAGTGAGTCAACAGTTAATGATGCATACACCTTGGACCACTAGGCAGCCACACGCGGTGAGTTGGCACACGCCTCCCACAATCTGTAGGACTATCTTCCTTTGCTTCCCCCAATACCCAACACACACACATACACACGCACACGCGCACATGCACACACACACACACACACACACAAGCTGTGTGTCGATGGAGAGCCTCAATCTCTCACATGTGAAGGCCACAGATCGAGGCATCTGTTTTCTCCTCCACACTCCCCTCACTCACCTCACAAACCTCACACTCTCACACCAGAATCACCTCCACCACACTCACTGCTCTACCTCAAGGTCAGTGTGAAGTGTACATATTATTTGCATGCTTGTTTGTGTCTATTATGTGTGATTAGCCTTGGTTCCAAGCGTTTTTCCACCTCCGCAGAATTACACGCCCACATAATTATTGTCCACATAAACAAGGGAGGGCCTGGAACCAAGGCTACATTGTATGTCTGTAGGTGCTTGTGATTGGAATTTAAAATCGTCTAGGTAGTTGAGAAATTTTACATGTGGTATACATGCAACTACACATGCTCTCATGCCTAGTAGCCTCAGTTCCAGACGTTCCCTTTTCTTTACAGCGCTATTGTGGTAAAGGGTAGATAACAGGTATATGTAGGGGGAAGGCTTGTTATGGAGGCTAACGTACATGTGTGTGCATTGATCGTTACACGCAACTGACGTGGGTCAGTTTGTATGTACTCTTCATTCACTCTCTCTTCTTGTATACTCTCACAGGATCACCAGCTCTGGAAGAGCTTGGTAACATTAACATGTAGTGTGTACTCAGACTGTGGCCATACGTGTACATGATGCATATTGTTTTTCCTTCTTCTTTCGCCACTTTTCTATCTCACTAGAATGTGTGTTCTGATTGATTAGCCTTAATTGTCCCCAGACACTCTCCCTACGTATGTGTGTAATTATTAATTTAGTGACCTCGTGTAACTTAATTGCAAGCATGCTGGGATTTTTCCTTGTACATGTATTTGTGTGTATATAACCCTCTCTCTGAGCTCAAAACTGTTTTGCAAAGCTATAATGCTCGCAGGAGGAGTGGGAGAGCTTGTCTAGCACGATGCTACCTTATCATTTACATGTGCATCATACATTTATTAATATTGACCATTACCCTACACTTTATATCATTATACCATGTTAACAAGTTTATATGTATGCAGGTAAGAGACCTGACTGCCCTCTGCCATTTCCCACTGTTGCACACACTCTAAATATTGCTCACTGTGACTGCGGCTACGAAGTTGGCTCGTTGAGTGGGTGTGGTCAACTCAACTCCCTCAATTTATCAGGAGTGTCAGTACCATGGAATGGATCAAAGGTATTTTACACATGTATATACAGTACCTTATCCCAGTCTCCTCTTACTATCTCAGCATAAGGAGTAAGGAAGGGTACTAGAATATTGTCCCATGACTATTTTGTTCTCTATATATGTGACCCGCTCTGGGAAAAGGTACAATTTGGCACAAATATAGATTTTCCGGTATGCGCATATTAGCAAAAAAACTCGATGGTTTCGTTGTATGCAGTGTGCGTTGCGCTTTCGAACAATACGCGTAACGCAATTTTGAATTTTTGCGCCGAATTGTACCTTTTCCCAGAGCGGGTCACATATGCTTCACATTGTTGGTGACAATAAATACTCCCCTATATCCCAGTAATGGAGTTGTACAGTGGAACCTCTCTGATCAGGACACCGTTGGGCCAGAATAAAGTGTCCTGAATAGTGAGGTGTCCTTATTTCAGGGATTGCTAAGTACACAAATGTGGTATTTGGGACTTGTAAAAGTTTCCTGTTTATGATGTGTCCTCCTTTCAGATGTGTCCTGATAGAGAGGTTCCACTGTATTAGTCTATGGACATGCATGCATATACACTAAACTGATGCCAGAAATCCCTAAGTTCAGCACAGTGTGGCATGATATCCACCATTACTGCCACACATGGTAGAGGGACTAGGAATCATGTACAATGTACGTTTTAAAGACATAGTCTGTCATTGTAACTGTTGTTTGCATACTTATAGCCTGTCATTGATAACACTGTTTGTTTAGTATCTGAGCCCCATCCGCGCCATGGTGTTGTTTTTTCCTCTCTTTATTCTACTTGTTGTACTTATGCAGTTAGAACTCTTCTGCCCAACTGCATAATTCTTTTGCATATTGATAGTTGAAGATTATATTTTTCGCTTTATTCCCGGTGCATGCGCCAACTAACACAAATTTATTATAATATTTAGCATTTTGAATGCCCTACAAGAAAACTGTGTAATAGTATGAAAACTTGGGGAGTGAACCTCCAGGTAAATCATCGTTCTAGTTATGTCCATTCGCAATTTTTGTGGTCCATTAGCTATGTTATAAAATGTATGTTACATCTAGAGTGACCCAGATTGTCCATAGTATCAGGACTGTGACAGTGGGCTGTGTTTGTTTAGCTTGGTTGGGTAACATGTACAGGTCCTGCGCCCTCCACTGAGAGACTGTGTACTAAGATGTCATATGGTATTGAGCTCACCCACTAAGCACTGTGGATAGTTCTAATAACACAAAACATTAATCCTTCCCTGACTGAACTCAACAGACTGCACAAAGAGTTTTTTCATACTACAGTCACATTACTGTACTCGGACATTGACTCGAGCAGTACACAGTTTTGACGAAAAAACCATTTACACGAATATACTCAACTCAAACTCTAAATCTGTAAGCATAGGATAGGGAATGGTAGCTATCCACATATGAAAGCAAAGCTCCCTCTAGAAGGCTTGGCTACTTATCTTTTAATATTTTTTTATCGGTCTAAGGGTGGTGATGTACTGCTTCTTGAAAACTGCTTTTTTTTGGGATGCTTCTTGAAGAAGAAGGATATGTCATTCAACGTATGAGTAGTAAATACGTTCTACATCAACTTTTATTCCAATTGTAACGCTAACGTGTGAAAGAGTCTCCATTTGTAGTTGGTTTGTGCTTATTAGGAAGTGTGCATAAACTGAATGATGCAGACATTTGCTTAAGAGTTAGGTACGAATCTTACCCCAGACCACCATGAATAACTTCGCCACTGGTAGAAGGCAGAGAATGTGATTTGCCCTCCGGGCCATTCATCGTACACCGTTACGGCCACACTGGGATTCACCCAGCAAGTGTTGACAGATGCTTCTACTCCTATGCTGTACTCAGTGGAGCCAGTCAGGGAAAGTCCCGCACGACCAATCTGAAAACAAACAATAGTCCACACTTAGTACTGTGACTTAGGGGCTGTTTAGACACTGTATGCATGTGACTGCATGTGCATGAACCAAGGAGGCTGTTGTGTGGAGTTTGTGTCCCTCTTTTTGTTATATTCTGTTGACATCACCTATATATGCATGTAGTGGGTGCAGCGCGGGAGAATATTCATGCACATGTGTTTCCTAAAGCGATTCACATCAAACTATTGATGAAGCTGATATATGGAAACATCAGAGTTCACTTGGAACTCTATGTGCATGCAGATGAGTGTATAAGATTACATACTAACCAGAAGAGAGACAGAGACACTGGCAGTAACTGAAGCATAGGCAGTCGGTGCAATTTCTGCTCTTGCTTGTAGAGCAGCATTCAAATTGCCCGAAACTTGCATCGTCCCCCTTAACCCTATCTGAACATCCACAGAGAGTGTCAGTGGTATGATCCACACTGTGAATGTGTAGGAAAAGGTGAACAGTGTTCTTCTGTATGTTGGAAGGTTGTATGTTCTGGTGAATGATGTGACGACATTTTGATTGATGTCTAAGACTACGTTGGAACCAAACTTGACATATAGTTTTCCGTTCATCTGTCCATTTAGAGACACATAGCTACCCAGAATGTTCACAATCTCACCCTCGCGACTAAGTACACATCCACGAATGAGAGCTTTTGCTTTGACCTTAAAATCGCAATTGCTACTGTAACCTGCGAATGCTCCAGCAGTTGCTTGCACATAGAATGGGTAACTGGAAGATGTTCGACCAATTCGTTTCCACCAAAGGTAGGCACGATGGTTGGGGAAGTCACTCTCATCTTGAACTCTCTCACTGAGAGGACACACAGCATTGAAATTTGAATCGGTAGAGGACCAATCAGTGCTCGATAGCCGCTTTTGACGTGATAAACCACTGCTAGTGTTGATCATATCAGCTAAAGCTAGTGTTTCACGAGTGCCAACCAATTTTAAAAAGTCAACGAGCTCATTTTCAAGAGCAGAGTTCCCAAGATCAAGGGTAATGTTCGTGAGAAGATGTATCAAGTCTTCATTGAAAGTCATTTGTCGATTCTGCTCAAAGCCATCTCGAAGGGCATCAATGATGGCACTTACAAGAGCGACCGAATGAGTGTAATTCCCCAGAGTGTAAATAAACTGCTGTTGAACGGATGGTTCGCTCGTGAATAGTCTCAATGCGGTCACTGCAGCCAGTCCAACAGCTTCATCTTCATGCTGTGAGTAGTGTATGATGTGCTCCACTGCTAACATCGACTGAGTGTTTCCCAGTGCATGCAAGACATGGATAAGTACTTCAATATCAGTAGGATCTCGAGGGAGTCGATCAGTTATAAATTTAACCATCTCACGTTCTCTGTCAGGAGCAACGTTGGCTACAAGAGCACCGTAGGCCAGGAGAAGAGTGGTTGTCTCCTCGTTCTGTGCGATCATGTGCTCGAGTGTTTGAATGAGTCCAGAGCTGGGATCAGGGAGTGAGGCTACGGCTAGTATGAGTGAGTTCCTCTCCATGTCTGACAGATCAGGTGATCTCAGTCGCTCCATCAGCACCTGACAGTGAGAAACAAAAGAGCTCAATGAATGGTCTGACCCAAATGCACATCTTCCTCATCACATTTACGTATGTATCTGGGGTGGTTTGTCATACATTTTTACACGGCTAAACATTGGTTAGCTACCCCATATTTCATCCCATCTCTACAGTGCATATATCACTGTATCAACTTACATTCTGTGCCTGGAGACTGCCCTCTGTGCCTAGTAGGGAGTAGATGTTCAGTCGTTGGATCTCATAAGTCTCTGACTTCTCATCGATCACCTTCAGAATGTAGTTGTGTGTGCATGGTATTTTCAGTATACAGTCCTTACTAATTAAGAGAGAGTGCAAAAGAATTGAGTTTACCTCATTTAAGTAGTCAAGGACATGTTCTATCATGGGAGTTCCTTTGGCTCCATATTTGGACTCCAACACCATCACCACTTCTAGCACCTTGTCTGGTGTATGCATGCATGGAGATAAATGCTAATGATAGGGGTTGTAACAATTCAACTGTATGAGAGAGCTACAGGTGAGACAACAAGTCAAGTTTTATACTCACAGAATTTGGTGTTGTTGGCATTTCGAATTGCGGCAATCATCTGATCAGAGGTTTGAAGATTTTCGCGAAGTTTTTCTAGTGTCTCCAAGTCACTCTTTTCTGTGTTAAACATTGTTTACAGAATACATATAGACGGATAGTTCATGTGCAAGTATTGTGCTACATACTTTGATCAAATGATGCCATGAGTGTCTCCTCTGATGATGAGTCGCTGTCGATGTTCTCTCTCACTGCGCCTCTTCTTCTCCTGGCAGTACGAGGGACTAGTCTGCACACTCTCAGTTCCATGCTGAAATTGCCACGGACATTGAATATGTTTGAGAATTCATCTTCGTGGTCCTCGGTAGGTGTCCCGTCATCCTGTTGTGTCGACATGACCCTCTCTACCAAGAGGTGCATGGTTCCATTAGACTTGACCAGTCGGCCATCTTTGTACTCAATGTCTTCTTCTTCAACCAGTTCAACATCTCCAGCAGGTATGTTTGCCGGGTACTCCACCACATCATCATTGCTGATGCTGCGATGCATCTTGATGGAGCCTTCTCCCGACTTCTCATAGCTGAGATAAGGATATCAGAGTAGAAATACACCACATGTTTGGATGTGTTCCCTACATATATTTACCATTTTTAACTGTCAAGAACTCCCTTTTACATACTTACATGTAGCTATACATAGTCAAGACAAACTAACACAGTTGCTGAACATTTAAGACATACGGTGTAAAGTGACTATAATATAAGTTGTATGCATATTATGTCTCTTGACGTGTAATAGACTAGCTGGCTGTATGAACCTGTAATGGGACAGATGTTTGGAGTTTGTGTCAATCTCAGTCTCTTCAAATGTTCCTCTGAAGTTGGCCTGAAAAGCTGCAGCAATGCCCTTCTTGAATGTGACGGCCTCGCTGTCCTCTGTCCTGGAGTGGAACACTGACACCACACGACCCTCACTGGTCTGGACAAAACAGAACCAGCCAGAGAGATGATCCACTGCAAACCCATGCAGTGTACTGTAGGGAAACAATAGCAAATCAGCATTAGTAATACTGTTCCTTCAGTCTCAGTGTGCATACTCTGAAGAGTGTGTATAGTGGCTTGAAAGGTATGTTCATGTGCACATATGTAACAAGAGTCATACATAGCATAATATTGACTCTGGTCTAAATCATAATGAGTGAAATCCTGGCTAATGTAGTGTGATTACTGACCTTAAGTTGACGTCCGTTTCATTTGACTGGTTTTGTCCGAATCTGAGGAAGTTTCCTCCAACCCCTGTTATGACCATACAGTACCGAGTTGCATCAACTGAGCCATACGATCCACCTGCAGAGTTATATTGACAACAGCTTAAACTGGAGTGAACCAACAAGATTTGGTAAATTTTGACATCAACGTAAAAAGTGAATATAGCTATTATGAAGTTTTTCTCACTTGATTCGCAGGTGATTTGTGCAGTGGCTGTAACTGTCATTGGCTGGTCTTCATTTTTGAACTGGTCCATTTGAACTGAATACACATACTCGCAAGTGTGATCA